AAGGGCAGCGATCGGCGACTGCAGTCCCTAACGGGTTGGTCGGGCGGGCAGGCCCAGACGGGCGGGTCGAGCGGGCGGGTCGTTGAAGCGTGAATTCTGCTTGAACCGCCAACCAATATGTAGCGGGAGCGCGATTCCTGAGTGTCGAGGAGCGGCATCAGAATAATCCCACCAGCCCTTTGGGCGTGAGTGGTTTAGAGAGCCCGCTCTGTTCTCAACCCCCCTTCTTCCCCTTCGGGGAGGGGTTTACCCCTCCCCCTCCCCCCTCCCCCTGGGCCTGGAGAGGTCCCTCCGCGGGTCGTTGGGGGGGTCATTCTCGACTCCTGGGAGGGCTAAAAAACGACACCCCTCACGAGGATTCTGGCCCCGACGGGGGGGGGAGAAAAAACCTCTCCTCTTCTTTGAAGCCAAAATCATTGATTTTACTACGGTTGTGGCCCCATTTTCGCCTTCTGAGGGGGCAGCGCTCATTAAAGCTCACCTCTTCTTTCAAGCCAAAATCATTGATTTTACGAAGGTTTTGGCCCCATTTTGCCCTTCTGAGGGGGCAGCGCTCATTGAAGCTCCCCTCTTCTTTGATCGATTTCCTCCAAGATGGCCCCAAGAAGCGCCCAGGAGGCACCAAGAGGCCCCAAGATGGCCCCAAGAGGCCCCCAGGAGGCCCCCAAGAGGCCTCCAAGAGGCCCCCAAGATGCCCCCAAGAGGCCCCCAAGAGGCCCCAAGAGGCTCCCCCGAGGCACCCAAGACGCTCCTGGAAGCCCCTGGGGCCGCCAAGAGGCCCCCAAGACGCCCCAAACGGCCTCCAAGAGGCTCCCAAGAGGCCCGAAGAGGCTCCCCCAAGGCACCCAAGACGCTCCTAGAAGCCCCTGGGGCCGCCAAGAGGCCCCCAAGACGCCCCAAAAGGGGACGAGGTGCCCGAACGCCTCACGCCACGAGGAGCCCGAACGACTCACACCAGGACGAGGGGCCCGAACGACTCACACCACGAAGAGCCCGAACGACTCACACCACAAGGAGGGGCCCGAACGACTCACACCACGAGGAGCCCGAACGACTCACACCACGACGCGGGCCCCGAACGACTCACACCACGAGGAGCCCGAACGAGTCACACCAGGAGGAGGGGCCCGAACGACTCACACCAGGACGAGGGGCCCGAACAACTCACACCACGAGAAGCCCGAACGACTCACACCAGGACGAAGAGCCCGAACGACTCACACCACGAAGAGCCCGAACGACTCACACCAGGAAGAAGGGCCCGAACGACTCACACCAGGACGAGAAGCCCGAACGACTCAAACCACGAGGAGCGCTTTCTCTCCCTCCTCCTCCGCCTCGTCCTTCTCCCGCTCCCACCACAAGGAGGATGTACAAGGAGGCGGGAGGAAGGAGGAACAGGGGAGATATGCGGGGGCAGGCGGAAACACGCCTGAAAAACACGACTGTCGGCATGTTTCGCAAGAGTTGCTGTTTTGAGATGGGCTGGTGGGGATACGCGAAGCGTAAAGAATTTGTGAGGAAGTATCCAACGGGAATCGCGATTCGGTTGTAAGTTGCGAGGAAGTCCCAAGCGAGAGCGCGATTATTCCATACATTGTGAGGAAGTATCAGGCGGGAGCCGCGATCCGGTGGTAAATTGTAAGGAAGGCCGAAGCGAGAGCGCGATTCTTCAATTAATTGTGAGGAAGTATCAGGCGGGAGCCGTTGTTGTTGAACATTATTAATTCTAAAGAATAATTATTGTTGGGGCCCCTGGTGCACGGCCCCCCTGCGCCGCCTAGGCCGCAGCTACATTTTCATCATTTTCGTGAGGAAGCCTCAGGTAATACGATGTCATCAAGATCCGGTTGTTTTGTTGTAATCCGTTTTCCCTTGCAAAAAACACTATAAAATGACATTTCTTGTTCTAATATAATCAATTTCAAGAATCCCTTGCAAAAAATAAGGTAAAGTGGACATTCGCGCGCGCAAGACGAAATCCTTCCAAAAGCTTAGTGTTCGGAGCGATTTTAACATAAAAACATCAAAAAAACCAATGGTTTTTCAAAAAAAATGTCAAAATCTCATCCCGCGCGCTCTTGCGGATTCGTAGGAAAACCAACACTTTTTAAACATTTCTGTCAAACGGGCTTTTGCGAGCAACTTTTTCGAACTTCTGCGACAACGGTTGCGCACCTGCCAGGGCCATCATCCCTGTCAAATAATACCATGCGGGACACATTCGTTTTTTCTTCGCGCGCGCACGCCGTCGTCGTCGGCCGCGGGGCCCTGAATAGTAGCCACGGTCGTCCGCATGCCACGAAGTGAAGTGTCCGAACGTCATAGGGCGGGAAGCTGGGTGTGGGTGGTGGCGAAGAGTCGTTTGGAAACTTGGTAGAGCTTGAACCGGCCCCCCCACAAAGTGGGGGTATTGCCCGCCTCCTATGAAAACCCTGGCACTGGTGAGAACGGAGTGTCCCCAGTGCTTAAATGATTGTTGTTGAACATTATTAATTCTAAAGAATAATTATTGTTGGGACCCCTGGTGCACGGCCCCCCTGCGCCGCCTAGGCCGCAGCTACATTTTCATCATTTTCGTGAGGAAGCCTCAGGTAATACGATGTCATCAAGATCCGGTTGTTTTGTTGTAATCCGTTTTCCCTTGCAAAAAACACTATAAAATGACATTTCTTGTTCTAATATAATCAAATTTCAAGAATCCCTTGCAAAAAATAAGGTAAAGTGGACATTCGCGCGCGCAAGACGAAATCCTTCCAAAAGCTTAGTGTTCGGAGCGATTTTAACATAAAAACATCAAAAAACCAATGGTTTTTCAACAAAAAAATGTCAAAATCTCATCCCGCGCGCTCTTGCGGATTCGTAGGAAACCCAACACTTTTTAAACATTTCTGTCAAACGGGCTTTTGCGAGCAACTTTTTCGAACTTCTGCGACAACGGTTGCGCACCTGCCAGGGCCATCATCCCTGTCAAATAATACCATGCGGGACACATTCGTTTTTTCTTCGCGCGCGCACGCCGAAATCTCCAAAAACCATTGGGTTCTTAAGAATTTTAGCACCGCGCATCATAAAATCACACGAATCGCACCGTAGGTCCTCGAAAAACACCTGCACGACTTTTCAAAATTTCTACCCGCGCGCGCTGTCCGAATCCTAAAAAAACCAATGGTTTTCCAACATTTATGTTACATGAGCTCGCGCGAGCTACTTTCGCACGCTCTTGCAACGGGGTTCGCGCGCCTGCCAGGGGCCACAATCCCTTGCGGTTGCGCCATAGGTTGCGCCCTCGGATGTTCTGTGGAAGGCTTAACAACTTCTGTGGGTTAACAAGGCTTAAGAACTTCTGTGGGTGTACGAACGTAGGCTTAACAACTTCTGTGGGTGTGTACTCCACGCCAGTGTAGTAGCCACGGTCGTCCGCAGGCCACGAAGTGAAGTGTCCGAACGTCATAGGGCGGGAAGCTGGGTGTGGGTGGTGGCGAAGAGTCGTGTGGATATTTGGTAGAGCTTGCACTGCCCCCCCACAAAGTGGGGGTATTGGCTGGCGTCGCATGAGAACCCTGGCACTGGTGAGAACACTGAGCGTTCGGGTAAAGTGATTGTTGTTGTTGTTGTTGTTGTAAACTGGGGGCCGACAACACAGTTTGACCCTCAAGACTTTCCCTGATAAAGAACAAGGTGCGAGCCCCGGGAAGGGCACCTCAATCGAAAAACAAATGTGCACCGGACGGGGGGATCAACAAAATTATTCGCCAGAAGTGAGAGTTCAACAAACAACGGCTCCCGCCCGATACTTCCTCAGAACTTATTCCAAAATCGCGCTCTCGCGAGGGAGTTCCTCACAATGCATGCAAGAATCGTGCTCTCGCGTGGGACTTCCTCGCACTTTACTCACACGCCACGCCCTCGACACGCAGGAATCATGCTCTCGTCCTGGCTGTTCTAATGATTTACTTGGGAGTCGCGCTATCGTTCGAAACTTCAGCGCGATTTATGCAAAACCCACGCTTCAGCAACACGTCTGCTCGACCCGGCTGCCTGGGCCCGCCTTCCCGACCCGCCCGCTAGGGTCTGCCCACCAAATCTGCCTGCCTGGTTATACTACGCGTTCTCTGCTCCTGGCCCCACTCGTGCTCATTTCTCTCGGGCTCCATCCTTCTCCGTCCCCCTTCCATCAGTCCTCTCCTCCCCTGTTCTAGGGGCTACGCTAAATGCACCTCCAAGGGGACACGATCGAAAACGACGAGGGCGGGCACCGAAGGTTTAGGATATGCTTGTTAAACGGCACGCGGGCAGATAGGAGCGAACAGTATTACTTAAGATGATTGTTATTGTTGCTGTTGCTGTTGCTGCGTTGTTGTCGTCGTCGTCCTCCTCCTCCTCCTCCTCCTCCTCGCCCGCGACCCGCCTGCGACCCACCCCGCGACCCACCCACGACCCACTCCGCGACCAACCCCGCGACCCATCCGCGACCTACCCAAATTGTTTTGACAAAAACTCGGCGCCTGCGGCGGGCTCGTTGTGCAAAGTAAGTTTAAAAAGCAGCGACTGCTGCGGGTTTCTTCAGAGCCTCGCAGACGGCCGACGACCCCGCCGCCCCCTCACTCTTATCCGCAACTGCGGGGGGGGCACGTAAGGGAAAAAGATGGCGGAGGAGGAGGAGGAGGAGGAGGAGGAGGAGGAGGAGGAGGAGGAGGAGGAGCACCCCCTGAGGCGACCAGGCTCGTCAGCAGCAGGGCTACCTGCGGCAGAAGCCTCGAACTGCCCCGGATCGGCGGGCTGAGGCGCGGAGGCGGGCAACAACTAACTGAGAGGCACGACGGGATGAAATAGGCGCGACGCGGCAAGATTGAAAAATATAACGAAGCAGATCAACAGCAACAGTATGAGACACCAGCTCAGGAGAGGAGGAGGAGGAGGAGGAGGAGGAGGAGGAGAAGGAGGAGGAGGCGCAGGAGCCCCGCCCGCCCACTCGTCCCCTCTCTGCACGCCCTGGCCTGCTGCACGTTCCCCGTCAGCAACGCCGCGGCGTACGAGCAGCCTTCCGCTGTCACTGAGTGCACGCGCCCGGTCTCGGTGCCCATGCCGACGCCGCTGTCCTATATGGCGTCGCAGAGGGGGGGGGGGGGGGCGACACTCTGGCAGGAGGCTGGCGGCACGCGTGCCCCCACTCGTTGTGATAAAATTGCGACGGACGGTGTTTGTATGCGTATGTCTTCGGTCTCTGGGGGCCCTCACTGGGCCTCGGGACCGTCAAAGATCGAGCCAGGATGCAAAAACAGTCCCTGGAAAGAGGTCCAGACCTCTAGGGGTCGAAGTTGTGAACAAGCACGCGACGTCGGAGTTCCTGCGTGCCTGGCCACGAAAACCCTGAGTGCCTGCGTGCCTGGCCACATGGAACTGCTCTTGTCCTTGATGAGTCTTGGGTTTGCACTGGTCGTCCTCATATCTCCTCCTCCTCCTCCACCTCAACCTCCTCCTCCTCCTGCCCCTCCTCCTCCTCCTCCTCCTCCCTCCTCCTCCTCCTCCTCCTCCTCCTCCCTCCTCCTCCCCCTCCCCCCCCTCCCCCTCCCCCTCCCACTCCCCCTCCTCCTCCTCCTCCTCCTCCTCCTCCTCTTCTTCTTCTTCTTCGTCTTATTATTATTATTATTATTATTATTCTCCTTCCTCCTCCTCCTCCTCCTCCTCCTCCTCCTCCTCCTCCTCCCCCTCCTCCTCTGGGCTCTTTGAGGGCCTGGGCGCGCGCCCGACGCGCGCTCCCCTCCTTGCCTCCCCCTCTCCCCCTCCCCACCCAGCACCCTCTGTCGTGTCGTCTCTTCGTCGTCGTCGTCGTCGTCTCTCCTTCTCTTGCCAAATTGCTCCTCTCGGCTGGCAGAGGAAATCAAACAAGCGTATTCGTCCAACCCCAGGTCGGCCGCGTCGTGTGCATCCAGCCCCCCCGGGAACTGTGGGGGCACGCGGGCCTCCGTAGGAGGCCAGGGGGGGGAGCTCCTCAGAAGGCGGTGTGCTGCCTTCTCGGACGGCCCCCCCCCCCTCCGCAACCGCCCCCCACCCCCGAATTGGCGCCCCGTGGTGTGCGCCCCCGCGTCCTGGCGGAGGTACACGGAGGAGCCCAAGAACCTGCTCGCCTGGCAGGCCGCGCGCGACGGCCGGCTCCCCCCCTGCAGCCCCCCGCCCGCCCTCCCTGCGATGAGCGCCGCCCGCGCACCGCACTATTGCTGAACTCCCCGTCTGGCCCAGCCCCAGCGGGGTACGGTGCACAATCCCACCAGCCCTTTTGGGCGTAAGTTGGTCTAGGGTGTTTCCTCTTCCAACCCCCTTCTTCCCCTTCGGGGAGGGGCTTATCACTGCTCCTTATTAGCATGCACCCCCTCCCCCAGGCGACCGGCGTCCAACCAGGAACCATGAGGACACCATGACGACCCGCCCCCCGCCAACCCTGTCAGAAAACCATAAAAACCACACTCTGCCTCCACATTTAAAGCATGCGCTGCCAACCCGATGCGGCCCCCCCCACCATCCCTGTCAAAAACAATACAAACTACACTTCGGGGCAAAGTCTTGAGTCATGTTCGTGAGGCCGGCGGGCACTTTGTATTGTGTTTGACAGGGACGGCGGGGGTGTCAGCATATTCCCTGCTGCGCGCAGGGCTACTATCCCTGACAAAAACAATACAACATGCACCTCGCGGCTAAATCTGAATCATGCGCGGCCATCCCGCGATCACTGTCAAATGGTTTTTGACAGGGACCGCGGGTGTGGTGGCGCGTGGCCTGGTGTGCGCATGCCCACCAGACATAATGATGGGCATTGGTTTTCAACAAGGATGGTGGGGGCGGACATGTCTTCTGATGTGTGCTGTCACGTGCGCAGGCGTACCTGACGCACTCTGCACGCGCCCCACACGTGGCGCACCTGGCGCGGCTGGAGTGTGCGGCACACCTGCCGCATGTGGAGCACGTGGCGCATCTGGCGCACCAGGCGTTCCTGGCACGCTCGGGCCCCAGGGGTGCCTGGCGCGCGTAGCGCCCCTGGCACGCGTGGTGCAGCTCGCCCAAGCGTCGCGCACCTGGGGTCGGCTTTGGTTCCCAGTAGCTGCCCATCCAAAGACGACCGCTCAACATGCTCAGGCTCGGGTGTTACTTGTGTGAGCTAAACGGCTTGCCGGCGGGTGGGTAGCTTGACCCCTCCCCCTACCCCCTACCCTGGACCTGGACTGGGCTGGTCGCGAGCGGTCAGGGCGTCCAAAACGGCCTCGGCGAGGAAGCCCAAATCAGTGGTTGTACTACGGTTTTGGCCCCATTTTGGCCTCTTGGGGGGGCAACGCTAAAAAAAGCCCCCCTATTCTTTGATCGATGGCCTCCAAGATGGCCCCAAGAAGCGCCCATGATGCCCCAAGAGGCCCCAAGATGGCCCCAAGATGCCCCAAGAGGCCACCAAGAAGCGCCCAATAGATATCCCAAGAGGCTCCGAGAGGCATCCAAGAGACCTCTGGCCCTTTTGCTTGCCCTCCTCCTCCTGCTCCTCCTTCCTCCTCTTATTCCTTCTCTTCCTCCTCCTCCTCCTCCTCCTCCTCCACCTCCTCGTCCTATGCATATTCCGTCTCCTCACTCCCTCATCTATCCATCCAGCCTCCTCCTTCTCCTCCTCCCTCTTTCGCACGGTTCGGCCGTCCCCCTCTTTGCTCCCGCACTTCCCTGATCACCTCAACTCGCCTGGACATCGTTTCTGGATGGGCTGGTGGGGATGCGTGAAGCGTCTAGAATATCTTCATCATCCTCTGCCTGCCCTGATTTCGGATCCGCCGTACTTTAATTGATTCTTACCAAATCAAAAATGTGTCGGAAATTGACCCCAGACGATGCGAATAAAAAGGGCGGAAATGTCCACCTCGGAGTGATTGAGCGGACACTTCCGCCAAAGCATCGCGGAAACAGCGACAGCAAAGTAGGGCGGACATCGATATCAAAGGAACTTGAAATGTAGGGCGGGAATGTCCTCCCTACTTGCGAAATCGCCCCAAAGCACGGCGGATCTAAAGATCCTAAATCAGGGTTCTCTCCCTCCTCCTCATCCACCTCCTCCTCCTCCTGCGGCTGCTGTTGCCGTCGCTCCGTGGGCCCCCCTTTACCACTGCGGCCCGATGCGCCCCAACAAAAATCGCCGCGCTAGCAGGATCACGCACAGAGGGCGGCCAGGCCAGGTCGGTCGCGCGGCCACACGGACTCGACCGCGTGGGCGGCGCCCACTTCGATCGGAGGCCGGTCGCGAGCGGCGATCGGGTGCGACCAGACGGCGGTGAGGCGCCCGCCGTACTCGAGATAGTCGACCTCCAGGCAATGCCAAAAGGGGTCACCACTAGGGATCCGCCATCTCCTCGAGGAGACGCCTGCGGGACCCACGACCCCCTCCCCCAGAATTCCACGAAAGCCCACAGAGGTGTCCGAGAACCTCGATCCTCTTGATCCTGGAACCTCGGTGCTCAGGAGGAGCTGGGCGACCCCACCCCCTCTCGATAGTGACCCCCCTTGGCACTGCCTGAGACCTGGAGGTCGGGGTCCTGAGCGTTGGCTGCGGCGTGCACGGAGCATCCACGGCGCTCCCGATGGTGTCCTGCGAGACGAAGTGGCTCGGGCCCAGGGTCGTGTGGGGCTTACCCGCGTCGGACGGGCGCGGTGAAACGGGGCTGTCTGGGGGACGTCTGGGGACCCAGAGATCCAGTGTCTTGAGTTTTCCCGGAAAAGGCTCCAGCCTCCAGCCCAGGGTTCTGTTTTAGTTGTGTTCCACTGCCCCCGGCGCGCCATGTTTAGGATGGGCCAGCGGATTTCCTCTCGAAAGAAACACGATGAAGTATAATATAATACAAGTTCCTATTTAAATTACCCTGTGACGTACCCAACCCATTTGTAACAATGGAAACGAGGAGTTGGCCGAAACTTGCATGGACAATCAACTTGATGTTTAAGCTACTTGGGACACGCGCCTATGGCATGATGCGCAGGATAACCATACAAGGACGAGGGGCGACAACTACAGGCTCGAAGAGGACATGGGGAGTCGGGAACGCAGAGCAAAAGAAAAACGTGCGGGAAGCCGAACCATCAGCACGGCAGCAGCAGAGGGAAGGTGACTGCAGGAGGAGAATAAGGACGAAAGCGGCGTCTAATTTGAGTCTGCGGTGGGTACCCACTGTGCTGTGCCCCCCAGCAGCCCTCGAAAGTGGCGACAGTTTCACAGATCGCAGCCCCCCAGGGATGGCGAGGTCTAATTTGAATCTGCGGTGGGTACCCACTGTGCTGTGCCCCTCAGCAGCCCTCGAAAGTGGCGACAGTTTCACAGATCGCAGCCCCCCAGGGATGGCGAGGTCTAATTTGAGTCTGCGGTGCGGTGTACCCACTGTGCAACAGCAGCAGCCCTCGAAAGTGGCGACAGTTTCACAGATCGCAGCCCCCCAGGGATGGCGAGGTCTAATTTGAGTCTGCGGTGGGTACCCACTGTGCTGGGCCCCCCAGCAGGCCTCGAAAGTGGCGACAGTTTCACAGATCGCAGCCCCCCAGGGATGGCGAGGTCTAATTTGAGTCTGCGGTGGGTACCCACTGTGCTGGGCCCCCCAGCAGGCCTCGAAAGTGGCGACAGTTTCACAGATCGCAGCCCCCCAGGGATGGCGAGGTCTAATTTGAGTCCGCCGGTGGGTACCCACTGTGCTGGGCCCCCCAGCAGCCCTCGAAAGTGGCGACAGTTTCACAGATCGCAGCCCCCCAGGGATGGCGAGGTCTATTTGCGTCTGCCGCGGTGGCCACTGTGCTGGGCCCCCCAGCAGCCCTCGAAAGTGGCGACAGTTTCACAGATCGCAGCCCCCCAAGGATGGCGAGGTCTAATTTGAGTCTGCCGCGGGTACCCACTGTGCTGGGCCCCTCAGCAGCCCTCGAAAGTGGCGACAGTTTCACAGATCGCAGCCCCCCAGGGATGGCGAGGTCTAATTTGAGTCTGCCGCGGGTACCCACTGTGCTGGGCCCCCCAGCAGCCCTCGAAAGCGGCGACAGTTTCACAGATCGCAGCCGCCCAAGGATGGCGAGGTCTAATTCGAGTCTGCCGCGGGTACCCACTGTGCTGGGCCCCCCAGCAGGGCTCGAAAGTGGCGACAGTTTCACAGATCGCAGCCCCCAGCAGCCCTCGAAAATGGCACGGGGATGACCAGGTAGGAGGCAGGGGGGAAGAGAGGGACGGGAGGGGGTGGGAAGGAGACGGTGGGAAGGAGACGGTGGCAAGGAGACGCGCGAGCAGTGCTCGATTCAAAACGAGAGCCCAACGCAGGAGGGTTGGGAAAAATGCGTGTTGTGCGTGCCCGCTCGAAGAAAACATATGTTCCATGTTGGGTTCTCGATCAATCTCGTGGTCCGCAGACCCCCGCTTCCTTTTTAAGAACGAAGGTGCGGAGCGTTTTGCGCAGAATCCTCTTGAGGGGCACGTTGAAATGTGCCGGAAATTTGCAAGGAATAGCAACATTGATTTTGCGCGAGCCCGCACGAGGATGGCGCGTCATGCGCGCAGAATCTCCCAGGATTGCTCGAGCGAAACGCGCGTTTTGAATGGGCGCCTCAGGTCGCCCAGGCGGATGTATAACATGGAGATATGGTCAGGATGTCTCGAGCGAGCCGCCTGCTTTAAAACAGGTTCCTTTCGCCCGTGAGCTCAAAGCATATGATTTGGCATGGGTTTATTTGGCCCGTGATCGTAAACCCACAGTTTTTACATATGTTATTTTCGCCCGTGGGCCCAACACTTTTCCAGAACTTCGCTAAGGAAGTCAGTCGATCAGGTTGGGCTTGCGCTTGGGGCGGCGGCTTTGCGCGGGAAGCGAACGGGCCCCATGCGCCCTAGAGGGCTCGGACCATGGCAGGAGCCGCAAGACGTGGAACACCTCGAGCACCATAATTACTCGAGCCGACCAGGGACCAACTCCATCTTCCTCGTCAGCGCCCTCAACGCATACGTGCTTGCCTTCCCTTTCGGCCAACCGTCGCACTCTTTGGACATCTTCCGGTTCAAATGCTCTCGTGCCGTTGCTCCGCGCACCCAGGACAAGTGACGCCCAACGTTCCTCGACCACCATATCACGTGCGACGGGTGGCTCAGCTTCCCCCTCAACTTACCTGTCATCGGGCATCTTCTCGCTTTCTTCATCGGGTCCGTGGTCGCGGTCGGATATGATCTGCATTCGTCCAGCCACCATCTGGCCACTTTTCCCGGTTGTCTTTTGCTGATCGTCTGCAGACATCTCTGGCAAGTCCGCGCTCCATGTTTACTGATCGGCTGGTGCGGCGACAACTTGAACAGCTCCTTGAGCGGCAGCTCTCATATCCTTGCTATCTCTTTTCTGCTTCGCTTCAGCCTCCTCCTCCCAAGTCGTCAGCTTGGTTCTCTGGAACAGGTCAGTGCGCGCCGGGATCAACCTCTGTCGCCCCAGCGTCGCCGTGGCCCCCGCCCAGTCGAAGCAGGACACCTGCGCGTCGGCTATTCGGTGAGCTGCAGCTGCTTCTCCCGCCAATGTGTCCGCCTTTTCTTTGCCCAGCCATGCGTGGATAGGGGTGCAGCGCCTTTGCGCCTCGTCGAGCTCCATGCGACTCTCGACGCGCAGCCCTGTGATTTTAGCTACTCCTCGCTGGCTCAAAATCTTATCGCTTCTTTCTCCACGGGCAGCCATGTCCTCTTTTGCAACAACATGCGCGACACGGCTTCGCGCGCCGGCATTTGCACCGGATCTCCGAGTCGGCCCAGAACCCAGGTCGCCCATTGTAGCTTCCAGCGCGTCCGAGAATGCCACAGCATCGCCTCGGCTGTTGCCGTGTCAGGGCCCTGGCAGTGGGCCTGCGCACTCTCCAGTGCACCGCGATCCTCCGTGGCCTCATTCCACCAACACCCAGCTCTAGCCACATCTTCAATACCTCGCACCCCCCGAATGCTCGGCTCCACGTCCATCTCCACATATGGCGAGGCGCTCTCCGTCCGCGCCGACTGACGGCCGCCCGCGATGGTCGATGCACGCCCAGTTCTATCGGCAGCGAACTCGCTCTCGCATTGGAGTGGGCATGACCAGCTCCTCGGCGGCATGCCTCTTAGAAATATACAGGGCAGCCATAAACTCCAGCTGCACTTGCCCCAAACGATGTGGAAATCATCCGCCATCTCGCCGCGCCCACGCCGACTTGACGCGTCATCTCCGAGAATATCGCGTCAACGCTGAGGCGATTGCATCCCCGCGCGCGAGATGACCTGCAGGGCTCCGGCCTTCTGGTGGCGCCCGTGCTTCCGCAACTTCCTGGGGCGGCACTGCAGGTCGCGCGTGCCCGCCCCGTTCTCCGGGCCCGCGCCGTTGCGACGCTTCGCCACCTGCATCCAGATCTCCCTCTCGGCTTCCTCCGCGATGGTCGGTCCTCTCTGGCTTCAGCTACCAGCCTCCACCATCTGCACCCACCTAGTAGTCCGTCCGCGGGGCGCCCCAGCCTATCGCCCGCACGTGCAGGATCACCGATGCGCCTCGCCTCCGCTGCCATCCCGTTAAAGCTGGTGCCTCACCAATCGTCTCTACATCTTCGGCCAGGCTCTCATAGCTCCTGCTCGTAGCTCTGGTCTCACCACGCATAGGTCGAACCGCGCTTGGATCTGGCCCCATCGGGATCGCCACACCTGGGTCTGAACCCTCCAGGCCGAGCAGCGTCGTCAAGCATCGCCCCGGCCACACCTTCCTCAATCCTCTCGCGAATTTCCCTTTGATCTGCGTCATCTCCGCCGGTGCCGGCTCGTGCGCCTTGGTGCCTGACGTGACTGACGCCGTCGGTCCATGCTAAAGCGCCTGCCTCCTTGCTTTCGCCTTCCGCAGCTTCTCGACCGCTGCGCCGAATCTGTTGATTTTTTCTTTTACTCGACGCGCGCGTAGAACTCCGCGCGCACGTCGTCCTGCCGCGGCCCAGTCCAGGGTCTCGGCCCTCGGTGGACGGCGACAGGATGACGCTGTTTCAGTTCCTTCGCCTCCGGCTTCGCGGTCTCGAAGTCCGCGGAGAAGATCGCCGCCTTGCTTGCCGCCGCGAGGCCCTCCAGCTCCAGCTCCCGCCCCAGCGCCCGACGCGTCCAGGACAATTTTCTTTGCCGCCTCGACGCCGCCGACTGCCCAGCGCCCGGCGTCGTCGAACCAGATTATCGGCTGCCCCTTCTCTGCATTGTTGCACGTCTGCTTCGCCACGCGGTGGACGGGGGTTCGCGCCAACTCGTCGTTTTGCCGTGAGCCCGCCAGCAGGGTTTCATCGCGCGCAGCGGTAGGCTGCACGCCCCCTCTCTCCATCAGCATCCTCGGCGCGAGGTGCGGCAGCGTCGCCGCGCCAAGATCCTCGGCGGGGGCCCGAATGCGGCGGCGCGCTGAGCTACCTCGGCGAACGCGAGCGAGTCGTAGAAGAGCGTCGCGCCCACCGGAGGTCCCGTCGCCCAGCGCAGAGGTCTCGTCGCACAGCGCCTTCGGCATGGCCTCCCTTGAGCAAGAGTTCCGAGACCGACGCGTCGAAGCTGCCCACGTCCTTCGCCCATTCGCGGACCTGCTCGCGGTCGAGCAGCTCCAGGTTGGGCAATGCTAACGCCCGGCCCCCACATCCAGCCAAGGCCGCGTCGTCCTGCTGCTCCCCGTCCTTCGGCTGTAGCA